ATTTCAGTAGTAATTCACTGAGATAAAATTATTAATTCAATTGCATACAAGATTAGGAAATATCTTGCTTCGTCTGTTACTATAATCAGGATAATACCATATGTAACTAAAGGTTCAAGGTACTGTACTGTACATTTACTGAAGTTCTAACATTGTGATAGTACTTAATGTCTTTGACAAATGTATGTGGACATTTAAATTTGACAGTAACTTAATGTGTCAATGATGCATGGTTTGAAATCAAGTTGTAGAACTTTATTTCTTGAAATACATGGCTAGTTGGTATAAAATCTATTTCACAGAAAACTTTCTCGCGTACGTTTTGTATTAGATGAAGCAGTTGACTTAATTAGACTGATTGCTAGGTTCCTCGATACTTCCCCGTTTTACGAAGTAATTGCATTACGTCGTTAGAAAGCGTTCCGCGTAAACTAACGCTTTTGGCAGATTTTACCTCGTTTTTTAATTATTTCTACGCAATTTTTAATGTTATGAAAACTGAGTGTTGTTTTTTCATGGTTTTGGTTTTCATAACATTAAAAATGTGTAAAAAAATTAAAAAGATGAGGAAAAGTCTTCAAGAGTGCCAGTTTAACTCCTGAAATGGAGTTAAAATTATATAACTCCTGAATAGGGGTTAGATTTTAACTCCAATATGAGAGTTAGATTAACCCCAAAAGTGGAGTTACATTTTACCCCCAGAAATGGAGTTATTTCTAACTCCCCAAAACGGATTATTTTGAACCTTTTTTGCTAACCCCCTTTTCCGGAGTTATTTTAACTCCCTGAAAATAACAGTGTGGGTAGTAGATCTAAAAGCGCATTGATTTTCATTTTAGCAAGCATTATTAATTCCAGCGTTCAAATATATTACATTCAGTCTCGCGCTGCCACTGGATGATTGGAAAACGTTTATGGAAAAACATTGGACCTGATTTATAGTTATATAGACAAACATTACACAAACATAAACGTTTATTCAAATGAAAAATGCGCGATAATAATGACTAACAGTAACATGACAATGGTTTAAATATTAGTTATGCTAATGTATAAGTATCAGAGCTTGAGCACAGTATAGGGCTTGAGCATCTAATGAGTCATCGACTTTGCGTTTTCCAGCCAATTTATATGTTTGACTAAGCCTCAGTCAAATATGCTTTTAATAAACGAAAATCAGTTTTAATCTTAAGGACAGAACCTGTTAGGAACATACAATATATTTATAAATACCAGCCGACTTCCGTGATTTGCCAATCGGTAAACTGCTATTAGAGGCTGAAATAATACATTCGATACTGTATTCGTTAAGCGGTAATAAATGTAAAGCGCATGCAGTGACTTGAATTCTAGTTTACTAATCTGAAATTTTCGATTCTACTAATCTTTAATTTTGTAGCGAAAAACATATACACGCTAACACGCGGTAGTAAATACTATAGTAATAATGGTAATACCCATCTACGACTCTTAATTTTATTCATCTATGTTTATGTCCCATGTAACCGCACAATATCATTATAATTTATGGACTTATTAACAGTATATCATACCTTTTTCCAAGATCCAAACACGCGATCTGCAGTGGACGATTTCGTTGACGAACAAGGTTATATAGGCTACTCACTACGTTATCGCTACAAATTCGTAAATGCGCCTCATTGACCATATGACTAGTTAAGGTTTATGAATTATGATCGTTTCATATCCGCCAAATTGCACTCCCGTCGTTTGATCACGATGCTCAAGCTTGGTTGTTACGTATCCATATCGAAAGCATCGAATTTTCATTTCCAAAGTTTGACATACTCTCGCTAATAGTTTATGGAAAAACATTGGACAAAAGGTTCTCTCCCGATTTATAGTCATATAGAGAAACATTACACAAATATAAACGTTTATTCATAATAATGACTAACCGTAACAATGGGTTTGAATATCAGACATGGTAATTTTCAGTGCCGGAGTCTAAGTATCTGATGAGTCATCGACATCGCGTTTTCAGCCAATTTATGTTTCACTCAGTCTCAGCCAAATATGTTTTTATAAAACGAAAACGAGTTTAAAGGTAATTGAGTTGCACGTTGAAACACAAAATAATAATGACTTTATATGTGTAATTGTTGCTACTACCAAAATAAATTTTCATTGACATTGACAAACAGTATTGTAATGTGCGGCCAACAATATATACTGTAGTTTGCGAACCTAGACTTCATTTCCGACGCTCATTCTTCGCTGGGAAGTAACGTCTGCGGAAACGAGCGGGAATTCGATTTCCGTGACGTATGTCTATTTTCTGTGTTAGCCAATTAAAACGTCTGTTACAGCGAGAGCACGCTTGGAAGTGCGCGAACGCGTGTATAACGCGTGTAAGACCACACGAACGAAGCCGCGTTTTTTATTATAAAAATAAAAATTAATATACTTGTAATTTTATTCTGAAAATATGGATAAAACTTCGAAAAAGTATACCCAGAATACAAAGTTCTACTGTGTCAATGACAATGTGTATTAAAGAAGACACCTCTCAGTTGGAAAATATGATGTGTGTTTTGGAAAATATAATTGTTTTAGAAGTTATTTGAATATATGGAATGTTTTCAACTTCAATACTGGGCGACGCCCAAGGGGTTGTCTATACGTATGTCGACCATGAAAGAGTCGTATAGGATGTTATCAATAAAAATATGGTGAGGAAAATTACTATGATATATCATACTGGAGTTTCAAAGTGTTGTTCTCGGTCCAACAGCAAGACTATAAACTTCCACAGCTCGTTCGACAGATTGTGATTTGAACTATTCTGCGTGAAGAATATAATTTTGTACGCAATTCATTTTATACATTAGTGTGTTATTAAAATACTGTATGAATGAACGTGCAGACATGGACAAAGTCATGTAATCTTTGTATGTGTTAGTCCTATTCTGTTCCAATTGCAGTTCATTATTAAAAGTACGGCCGGCCAAAATAATGTATAGGACACTTTGTTTATGTCTATACCGCTCTGCAGCAAGATTATACGGCAACAATCAATAATTGCATGCATCATTGCATTGGGAACAGCCTGGTCGTGAACTTGTTGTAAAACCTGTCACAGTAGCGAAACTATTCGCAAATATATACAGTTTAAACGTTTTGATTGTTCAAATTCACTCTAGTTAATATATGTACGTACATTAGCATGCAGTGTTTTAATTTGTGTTTGTATTTACATATATACTGTACAGATCGAGTGTGAAATTGACATCAATTTAATGGTTAGTACTATATATAATAATATATTATAGTAGCAGTTTCATATTATATATAGCAGCAGTTTCATATTATATATAGTAGCAGTAGTACTATATATTATGAGTAGCACTTTTGTTGCAATAAATACGGAAGAGAAATTCAAATTACTAATACTTTCCCAAAAAACATGATCGCCAGGACTCAGAAGTAAATGCATTTTGTTTATAAATTGAGATTGATATCGGTACTGCATGATCAGTAGACAATCGGTTACATTATTTCACCGTATAAAACCAGTTACTTCAATTTGGCACTTTCTACATTTCAAACAAATTACAATTCAGTAACATTTGTCATATGGTTATTAAAAATAGTTTTCAAAATATTCCCTTTAAAAACGCAAGCGCAGAAGTAAATACAAAGCGATAATGTAAATCAGCAAATATTAACGAGCAACTTTGGTCCTGGTATTATAAATGTGCGAGTACAAATGTACATTCTAGAATAAAAGTTTATTTACTTTTATATGGTCACAAGCATAAAATCCTGATGCATCTTTTGTTGAAAATATATTGTTATTGCAAGTAGCAAGGCCTAAATGAGAATAAAAACAATAAATTTTGTTGAAAACGCCCCGAGAGCTATAAATACATGTTACGACTGTTATTGTTGTCATTCGCATTTTTCTGTCGCGTGAAAATCCCATGAATATCCCACGCATTACAAAACAAATCACACGAGTTAGTTCACGGTTTTTAAGAGCTACATTCTGATTGGTGGAAATTGAATTCCCACTCGTTTCCGCAGACGTTATTTCCCAGCGAAGAATGAGCGTCGGAAATGACGTCTTGGTAATTCGCAGACTATATATACTGCTGCATATATGCTAAATAAAAACGGATACACTTTTCTTATTAATATAGTAGTATTTCTTTTTCTCAAATTTTTGTCGACTCTGTTTTCCAAAGCCGTTGCTACGGGTTGCGTTAATGACTGTTTGGGAATTTCCGCCGACACGCACGACACTCGTCTTAAACTCATCACTTTTCAAAACAGCAAAATAGCGGGCAAAAGCAGTCACTACAATATGTCTATACATTCATAAGTAAACGTCGGGAATATTTCGAATATACAAGAACTGTTGCAGGAGGTATTTCACTCGTGAATAGCAAATCGTACACTCTTGCTACAGTGACAAGCAAGGATCTACAGTTGAAGTCGAATTCAATGGTTTGGACTATGACGGCTCTATAGTTTTGAAGCTCCATGGTAAGTGCTGTTGTTGTAGCCGTTAATCTCAAAACTTTTATGGCTTCCCCTTCTAAATATACACGTTAATTAATAACTCTCTCTCTCTCTCTCTCTCTCGAGCATATGCGGACACTTTCGAGTCGGCATTTTAAAACGCAAATTTGTCTCGAAATTTGTAATCGTCTGATAACTTCGGAAAATTAAAATTGGAAGACGCTTGGATGCGAAAATTGGGAAACGATAGTTAATTTCCGATTACGGGACAAACAAATTGCGGTGCTGTCTCGGCAATGGTCGACTGCGGTTTTTGTTTAAACGCGTTCAAACTTTACTCAACTTAGATTAAACCTCGGTCAGACCTCACTCAAACCCCGGTTAACCTAGGTTAAACCGAGGTCTAACCTAGGTTTGACCGAGGTCTAACCTAGGTTTGACCGAGGTCTAACCTAGGTTTGACCAAGGATAACCGCGGTCTTTGTTAGGTTATTTCTGGACAGCACTGTACATACTTCCTTTCAGATTCACGTAACGCCTTTTTTACAGCCTGACTACAAACACGGTAATTTTCCCAATCTGTTGTCATATTGGTTGATCGTGCGAGCTTATGTAATTTATCTCTATTTTTCATCAGTTCTTTAATCTCTCTACTCATAAATGGAAACCGGCGATATTGTATTTTCATGCTCTTAACCGGTGCATGTTTTTCCAAGATACTCGAAAAGTGACCATTAAATGAGGAGAGTTTTCCATTCACATCGTCAATTGAAAAATGTTCATGCCAAGGAATTTGTGCTAAATCCATGACAAATTGATTTCGATCGTAATCTTTAAAACTTCGTGCATTGATATATCTTGGTTTTAGTTTTGGCTTTTTTAAATTAAGTTCACAACTAACCAAGAAATGATCACTAATGTTAACTTCTACTACTTTACTTTTCACAATCAGACTTTCACTGGATGTCATGATCACATCTATCAGGCTGGATGATTGCAATGTTAGCCGCGTACGTTTATCGATTAATTGCACGAGATTTAAACTACAGCATATATCTCTCAATGCCTCCGCTTCTTGGGTTGTTTTCAACAAATTGTAGTTTAAGTCTCCCACGACAAAATTATCCTTACCATATATAAGTGCCCTTGTGTATTCAGAAATATTTGTTTTGAATTTTTCAAAATATCGTGTTTTATTCGCACGCATGTGCCACGTACTATATTTGACCTGCTGTGAACTGTCGTAACACTGGAACGCAAACTGCAGATAAACATGCCCATACTTGCTTGAAACCAAAATGGCGCTTCTCGCGAGGTTCATACTGGTCTCTGCCAGCAAAATTTGACTTTCAGCAGGAGTGCGGAAAGTTTCGGAGCAGGAAATTCAGTCAAAAGTTTGCTTTCGAGCGAAAATCAGCTGAAAAAAACACTTTTTTATCAAAAGGTTTCAACTTTAAAGATTCAAACCTGGTTTCCTGGATAGTTCTAAGTATTTTACATACACACTGTTATTTTCAGGGAGTTAAAATAACTCCCCTATTACTCCTTTTTGGTGGAGTTAAAATTTTAAGGTTAATTTAACTCCAAATTTGGAGTTAAAACAACTCTGTGAGAGGAGTAACAGATTTCCAGGGAATTAAAATAACTCCCCTATTACTCCTTTTTGGTGGAGTTAAAATTTTAGGGCTATGTTAACCCCATATCAGGAGTCATAATAACTCTTTTTGAGGAGTTAGAGGATACTGGCAAACTAGTTAGTGGAGTTATTCAAATATAACTCCCTTTATTGGAGTTATTTGTTATAGGAGCCTGGAAGCAAAATGGCGTCGTGTTTTCGGCTATTTTTAATAGTTTTAACTTGCTCAGATTGCTTTCCTTTCAACTGCACTCAAGAAAAAAAACGTGACAACGTATACAAAAGGGAAACAAGAACTACATTATTCATGTTTCAGGTAAGAGAACATGTTTTATTTCGTGTTTAATATAAATATTCAGATGAGAGGAGTGACTTTCTTGGTCACAGCAGCTCAATGATGCAGGGTTTTATTACAACGTATTTTTAATATTCTGTTGTGATGTGTTTTATTACATTAAATTTAAACATAGCAATTACATTGTACCTTGTCATACAGTACAATACAATGCACTATAATTAGTTAAAACAAGACATGATAGCTATAACAACACAAAATACAGTAAATTTCATTACAGTACAACAAAATATATTACAATTTTGCATAGCACAGTACAGTACATTTCAGTACAATATTCCTGAGAATGCAGTACACCGAAGGACAGTACAGCACAATTTCCCACATGGTTCAGATTACATAGCACAGTGAAATACAGCAAATTTTATAACACATAACAATTCAGTGCTGCACAAATTATACAGTTTGAGGTGATTGTTTGAGCTATATGTGCAATACCCTCTCAGCCTTGAGAAATATTGTCGGAATTATACAAAGTAAAATACTAAAGTAGGGCGTCATGGGCCAGAAAAAGTTTACCACAGCCCAGTCCAATCTATGTACTGTACTGTTAGTGTGGCACAGCATAGTGCAAAACATCACAAGAATATACACTGTCAGCCATTTGGCACAGAAAAGAACAGTACTGTACTGTACAGCACAATTGAGTACACAACAGCTCAGTACAAATCAATATGACACAGATAATAGCACAGTGGGTATATGGCACAGTGCGGTATACCACATAATGGTGCCATACAAAAAAGTAAAGGACAATACAGAATAGTGCGACACTGCATTCAGCATAGTGCAGCACAATGTAGTGTAGTAATATAGTCTATAGTAAAGGCACTGCATAGTACCGTACAGCATATAATCACTGTATGGCACTTGAACGGTAGAGTATGGTGTGGCACAACACAATACAATATGACACAGCTCAACACATTAAGATATGGCAAAGTATGGTATACACACAATATAGTGCAGTAAACACAGTAAAGCATATTCAGAACAGTGTAACACATCACTGACAGTACAGCACAATATAGTGCAATATGGCATTGCATACCACAGGACAGCAGGAGTATGACACAACATAATACAATACAACACAACTTAGCACATAATTGTATGGTATAGAACAGTATAACACAGTGCAATTAATACAGGATACACTATAGCACAGTGTAGCACACTATATAGTGGGGTATTATGGCACAACAAAGTATAGAAAATTAATAACATAATATATTGGATATAATTGAATGGAATATACCACACTGCTCAAGACAGAAAAGCACTACATATAGCAGATAGCATGTAACACCACAACACATAAGAATACAGAATGGTACTGTATAGGTATATATATTCCTGCAGCTGTTCCCGGTTAAGTCTAATAAATGTATATAAATTTCCACTTCATAATTATTTCCATCTACAAGACCCCAATATAGCATGTGCGGCACCACAGTACAGTATATTGTACAACATTCCACATGCAGTAAAGCATGGCCCAGCAATACTATATTATGCCCTGTGCAGTACCTTACTGTAGTGTATAGTACATACTGTATGTCTATATTGTACTGGTTGGTTCCATACTTTTAATATTAATTGTGTTCTGTCATACTGTACTGTACTCTACTGTACTGTGCAGTTATATTCTATTCTATACTGTGATGCCATGCATACTACATTATTTTGCTCTATACTGTATTGTGCCATCATGTTTTCTTCTGTGTTGTGGTGCCATCTGTGTGAGCCATACTATACTAGAGCATGGCATGCCATACTGTACTGTTTTATAGAGTACTGTAATGTACGGTACTACTCTGCCGTACTGGTCTGTCTTGGGCTGTGGTACTGTACATTATAAAACAGTATGTACAGTACTGCAGAACGAAGCATGCTAGCTCTAGTATAGTATGGCTCACACAGAAGGCACTACAACACAGAAGAATACAGAATGACACAACACAGTATATTAGAGCAACACCATGTAGTATGCATGGCACCACAGTATAGTATAAATACAGCTCCACACAGTACAGTATGGCAGAACACAATATTAAAAGTATGGAACCAACCAGGCAATATAGACATAGTATGTACTACACATTACAGTAAGGCACTGTAGTAAGGCACTGCACAGTGCAGTTTTTTTAGAAGAGTAGCGGGCAGTACACTATAATAGAACAGTATAGTATAGTATTAATTGCAACAAATATGGACCATCTATACTTAAACATAAAGCAGAAAGCTTAATACAATGGGTAGTCAATATGGCTCATTATCAAAAGAGCCTATTATCTTGAGAGTACTTACTTCCAGAGAGATTATCATCGTGCTTCTCGCAGTGCGATTTTTTGTCCAACTTGCTGCATATTTCTCCGTACACGGACATATCAAAAAATATATGAAATCTACAAATCTTTCGGTTGTTTACATTTGCCAAGGAGACGCAAAGTGCCGAGGGAAATTTTCCCCGGTAGTTAGTTAGGAATCCGTCCAATTAGCATCCAGTAATCAACAAGAGTTCAATTTCCCGACCGGGATAATTATTTTCCCGCTCTTTTCTTCATTTTTTGTTGAGATTTTGTACTTCAGGTTTTAGCACAAAATTTTCTTGATTAAACTTGGATATTTTTACAGAAAAATGCCAGAAGAGTACCGGTGTACTGGTTTAGAATATATATTTGAAGGTAAGGTTGTGTCTTATGGACTTTTATGTTATATTTTTGGTATATTGCATTCAATTTTCCTACAAACAAGCCTGTGGTGGTTTCGCGTTCAAACAGGCTAAACACACGGCGACTGTCCAGGCTGTCAACATTTAAAATACTTCTAGTGCAGATTGAAATAGTATTTCTTTCTTGCAAGACTGAAATGGACCTTCAGCAAATTTTACATGATGTGCCAGGCGAGTTTTTTTCCAGAACGAAAGCTGCCTTTCTTGAGAAAGACGGTTCGAAGACCAAGTAAATAGCAGTTTAACAGGCAAATAAATCAGGACGAGATCTTCTGTCCTGTTTTTTATAAAAATTAGCTTCTGTTTGTATATGAAAATTTATAAAATGCAATACATTTATAGTCAAAAGAGGGCAACCTTTGAAACGTGATGAAGCGTTGATTTTAGAATCTGATATAAGTTTTTTATATTTATATTCAGTAGGTATATTGAGAAAAATTGATCATGGCTTTCTTTGCAGCAATGATGGCTCAAGCTTCAAATAATTAAGGTGCAAAAACTAATATTTTTAATTCACTGTAGAGTACAAGAGCTAGGGCACCTATGGGGGATGTGTATTCCCTTGCAAATTTTCCCTTTTTCCCCCACAAAGATTTCACCATGTGTACTTGTTTTCCAAACTTTATGGTCCCCTGTTTTCTATCATTCTTTTTTGGCTTTGAATTCTATTGCAAAACATGCATTGTTCCCTGGTTTCCTAAAACCAGGCCTGGGAGGCCCTCAGTGGCTCAGTACAATCTCATAATTATTTGGTGTTAAGAATTTTAAGACCCAGAGGCAACTGACAATGGCTTCCTCTATGAATTCCATTTTAGAACCATGGAAAACTAGTTTGATATAAATATTATAATATGAAATTAGTTCCTCTATCAACATTGGCAGGTTTTTGCAGCTATGCCTATGATTACTCAAGTTTTTTTGAAGTCACAACTTTGAAAACCAGTAGTAAAATGTGTCTTAGATGTAGTACAAGCTTCACATTTGCCATGTGGTAGGCTAAATGCTTATTATTTAATATTGTAGGTTGGTACTAGCATGCCAAAACACTTCAGAATCATAGCCTGGATATGGTCATTGAAGCCGATTGTCTTACATCAAGATCTTGATTTGGTTTGATGTCGATAAGTGTCAACTATGTCATGCTGTATAAATGAATTCATCAAAGAAACTCTCTTGAGCAATCCAATTGATTCTTGCATGTATATTGATCGAAAAAGGGCGAACACCATCAACAGATTCAGGACG